AGACAGTCAGTGGTAAAGTCGCATTTATTTTGGCCAATCAGAGGTGAGAAGTCTGAATATCAGGAAATAAGACTTCAAATCCTGCCGTGTTCAGCTCCCCACTCCTCTGGCTAACTTGTATGTATAAAATTCTGTTATTCGTTGTATTCTTAGTTTTAGCTCACTGGCAGTTACTTGGTAATTTCCTGTTGCCTTCAATTTTTGAAGTTCATTGTACTATGTATACTGCTCTGGTTTACGTTATTTCTGTTTTTTTCCTATGCCTTTCTCCCCACAGTCACCTTACACCTTCAGTTTTACAGTTTTAGTTTTACATGTTTTCTTGAAATTCAGTTATTCATATGATCGGTTTTATTATTTGTTTTTGTCTGTGAAGCACTTTGTGATTTCTATCTGTGAAAAGTACTATATACACTAAATAAACTTCATCTTCTAGTACTTCCTGATACAGGAGTGCTTTTTTCCCCCACAAAGATCGACTCACAAGCCACTCATTTATACTAGAGACCATTGTAAATGTGTTGAAAAAGCAAGTGAACAAGTGGTTTATAACGTTCCCAATGTTCTTTAAAAGGGACATTTTTTGGCAGGAATTCAGGTTAGAATTCAAACACTGGTTTGTTATTGCAAAAAGAACTTATTAAAGGTCTAAAACTAGTTTTTAATTGAATTATTTCCTTAAAAGTCTGTTCTGATTCAATCAGCTTCCACCACAAAGCAGCTAAATGACCACAGTAAGGCATGTAGCTGCACATAGATCAATTAAAGGGAAGGTTTAGTCGACTTCTGCTAAATAATTTGTGTAAAATTCTGCTATAGCCAGAGTGTCATGACAGGTTTATTTTTTTATGTAAAAGAAATGCAAAGAGCAACACCGACAGGTCTGCTTGGTGGGAAAAGACAGATGTCAATCTTCTTTCGACCGGGTTCATTGAGTTTTATTTTACCCACTGGCTTCTTTCTGCTGATTGGTTGAACCCATCCAAGAACTGATTGAAGTAAGGCTATTGTGTCATTAACACTGAAAAGTTTCTGAACAGTTTCCAGCTTGCACATGGTTTTGCTTTTCTTGCTAAAGGAAGCAGAAACATTTTTTGCAAAGCTAAAAAAATACCTGCCTAACTATGGCGTTAACCCGCTTTCTAGGAGTTTATCGATGGCCTTGACAGAAATGACCTGTGAAGGACAGTCCCTTACAGTGGGTGATCATCTGACTCCTGCAGAGGTTCGCTGAGGTAAACCCTTGAATTGGGTCTGTTGGAGCTGGGAGCCAACAAAAACATGCTGGATAGGGGTTCTCGAGGACCTGGATCGCACACTTTCCTAAAGTAACACATAAAAATAAATCTATATTAAAACCATTTACTAAAAAGTGATGAGGACAGGGTTGCACAGTGACACAGCTGATAGCATTGTTGTCTTACAGCTTGAAAGTCACAGAGAGCACGTAAGCATGTTCTCCCTATGCATGCCTGGGGTTTCCTTCCATGGACCAAACACATACGTTAGGTTAATTGGTAAACTTAAGTTGACTATGGGTGTGAGTGAGTGTGTCCCTGTGATGGACTGTCCTGGGTGACCCCCACGTCTCCTCTGATGACTGCTGGAGTTAGACACCAGCTCCCCAAGGCCCTCATGAAGAAAGTGTGGTGCTGGTAAAACTTAGCATCACATTAACCCTTTTCACTCCCTTGCTGCCATTTCTGATAGTGGTGCCCCCTGCTGGACAATCTCAACCACTCCAAACAAACATTTTGGCCAATTCTTAAAAATAACATTTCATGTAGGTTCTTACCCCGTATTTCCACTGCACGCAAAAGCGTCTCAAAACGGCCGTGAAACGTACTACGTAGCAATCAGCCGCCATTATAGTGGATGAGTTCCTTTCCCCCAGCAGCAACGTGTAACGGTGAGATGCTATCCTTACGTTTCAGGTAGGGATGCACCGATACCTCTTTTTTCCAAACCGATACGATACCGATACTTGGATCTGAGTACTCGTCGATGCCGATTACCGATACCGATACTTCCACCACACAAAAAATTGCAATGATTTGGAATACAGATTTTATTTTCTTCTCTGCTTTCAACAGGAAAAGACTGTGAGGTAGATAAAAAGTAAAATATATGAATGGAAATCATCACAAAACTAAAATTTTAGGTGAACAGAAATGACAAGTTACAATGAAGCCATTTTCAAGCAACTGCATTGGTATCGGTTAACTTTTACAGATACCGATACTGGTATTGGTATTAGTATCGGCACCGATACCGATACCAGTATCGGTATCGGTGCATCCCTAGTTTCAGGTCATTTTTTTTTCACACTACGCTTTCAAAACGTGCCAAACCCCACAGTTTAGATTGCTCCAGACAGGAAGTCAAACACAAAAGCAGTGTAAATCATCCAGAAACGTTCAAAATAAAAGACATGTGCAGGTAAAAGTACATCATTTGCTGTTAAAAACCCTGTAGTAAACAAAATAGATAATAAACCACAGATCTTTTTGATGCATGCAGCTGTCTTTCTCCCTGCTCATTATTGTGTGTGGACTTCTGAAATCACGTTGCAGTTCTTCTGTTATTTTGTGACCTCACGAGATCCGCTGTGTGCAACGCTTTCGCTCCCGTTTCACATCAGAATTGCTAGCCGGTGAGAATGAGTTTGCGTTGTAGAACGGCGCTATTACAATGCATGAATGCTGTCACGGCCGGTGGAAAGAAGGGGTTAGGAATGTGTTGGGGGATTAGAGCTGTATCATGACAGATATTAGCTCGGTATCTGCAAATTTACCGAGTTGGATTCTCTAAGATCGATCAGCTACGGTGGCCATCTTGAATTGGGTTGATTAAAAAAATTAATCAGTTGCTGATGTTCAATTGATGTTAAAGAGTTTGATAAAATTCCTAACCTAACTTACTAACAAAGTCCTGATCTCAACCTGATAGAAGGCTGAATCACCGCAGAATCCTTCTCGCCCATCATCAGCGTCTCACCCCGCCAATGCACTTCAGGAAGTACCGTCCAATAAACAGACTCTTGTGGAAAGCCAGAGAGGCCAGGGCAGCCATATTGAAATGGGTTGCCTCAAAAGTGAATCAGTTGTCGTGTAACAACGACATTCAGAGTTTTGTTGGAAATCTTTCATGGGATTTATAAGATAAAATGGGCATGACAGGTAAATTAGGAACCAGAACTTACAATAATGAAAGTGCGAGTGTGTTTGTGGTCGAATTTTTTCCGGGGACTGTTGAAGAAGTCTGAAGTACTCGTATCGGTTCTTTTCAGGAAGACACCATGAGAGCCAGTTTCAGTCTAATTTAGATTCATTTCTGTGTTCATGGTACGCCACAGTAAGCCAAGCTAACAGCAACAAAGTCCTCATGACTTTACACAATGCTGCTTCACACCCCATCCCTCCTCCAAAGGGCCAATCTGGTGCCGTGGTACGTGGACCTAACTGGTGGCGGTAAACAGGTACGCTGAGAGGACAGACAGACAGACAAAACAGATGACTCGTACTCAGCCCTTTTAATCCTCATGCCTTGTGACTGTGAGAAAACAGCCTGAGCCAAAACAACTTGCTGTTTCTTTGTGTGAACTCAGTCGATGTGAAAATCTGGACACAGGAACACAAATGAACGAGAAAGGTTCTGTTAAAGTCGAAGCTCATTTCGGTATTTTTTATCTTTCACCACAAAACAAGCGAGCACGTGTGTGTGTGTGTGTGTGTCAGCACCGTTATATGACAGTTCTCTGTCAGCTGTGGCCAGTCATGGCAGTCCGCAGCACAAAGGCCGTTTTACAACAAAGCCGTTCCCACAGGTACCACTTAGCGTGTTGCTATGGTGGCGGAAGCGTGTTCAGAACAGATAGCTGGCCTTATAGGATGGCAAACGCTGTTTTTCTGGCCGTCTGGCCGGCCTGTGAGCAGTTAGTGGCTGACCCTGTTTATATATACTAGATGCCAGTGTGAGCCGGCCTCAACTCTCACCCCGTACAAAACAGCATAAACCACCGTCGGCCTGGGCTGTGGGTTGCTTTGGTCTGTGTTTTCCTCGGGGGGAAGTGGGCACAGCAGTCTGATGTTCTCTACACTTGACTTGACGTGTCTGACTTGTTTGTGGAAGTTTACGACAGAATTGATTGTTGGTTGTAATATATACACGTGGTTAAAAATATTTCTGAAGATTTGAAAAGATGCTAAAGAAAAACACATCTTTTTCTGTTTTTGGTATCTTATTCTGTTTGTATCCAAAGTTTTCCTCGTGGCTCAGGTTGAGAACATCCAGACTGAAAAAGTTGCAGACTGTGTGGTTTATTGATGTCATACAGGAAAGCCCAGCTCAGATATTGTGAGCGTGCCGTGTCACAGCATTTGGCTTGAGCATATGAAACTAATTCAGTTAATTTAGTCAGATTTACTCCTTCTTCAACATTTATTTGCAGACGTCTTTAATCTTGTTCAGTAGTTCCTCTGAAGCCTGTAGAGAACGTCGTAGCCCAACACCTTTTCTGCAGAGACTTCTCCCTCCTCTCGACAGACCGGGGTGGTGGTGTGATCAACAACTGTCGCCCTATTTCTTTGCTTTCTGACTCAAAACCAGAATCTAACCTTCTGCTGGTGGCAGCTCTTTAGTTTGTGAAACCTCGGTTCAAACAACGGTTTAACAAAGAGGGAATGAAATGGGAAAAGTCGTCTTCAGGGCTGCTTGTGGTGTCTTTTCAGTGTTTGTGGTTTATTTGTGTCTCTGCTTTTTAAGTAATATTTCCTTTCAAATTTGCACCATGGACTGAATCAGACACTTTTATACAGCTTCTCTGAGCTTTTCTAATGACTTTAGGAATTTGTCTGTTGTGGCTATTTTTGGAGCTCCAACTCAGCTCCTTTTCTCTGATCTCAACTTATTAGGGTTTTTTTTTCTGAACAATAATTTAGAAGTGTTTTTCTTTAAACTGGAAGCGCCTCAGCTTTACGGTGCAGCTCTGTGTCCTGAATGATTTCTAACTGCTTTCTTTTTCTTTTTAACCCTCCCTCGGTCTCCCCAAACAACCCCTTTGGAGTTTCGTTGCCCCGGTCCCTTTACACCAAAATCCACTCTCTAACACAACTAAAAATTCATCTTGTCTGACCTAAATCAGAGGGTGTCTGCGCCATGGGCTTATTACACACTGCGCTTAAACTTGTGTTGTGGAGGAGGATGGGGTATTATTATCTTCCAGCTACCCACCCTGCTATAAAAACTAGTGGTGCGACATCTCCACAGCGCAGTGCTGCTGCCCTCCCTCCCTTCCTCTCACTACCTCGCTCTCGCCCTTCATGAGCCGCACACAACCTGACTCTAAACTCCACACCAGCCACTCGGCTTCACACACACTCACACACACACACAGACTTAAGACCTCACCGCATTCCTTCTTCCCTTCACTGGATATTCTCATTGGTGAATTTCTTTTTCTGTGTTTTTTCTTCTTTTTTTATTTTTGTATTTTTTTGTGAACGGACATTTCAGCACCCGGCGCGGGGAGCTTGTGAATGGACCGACTGCTTGGCTGACTGACAGACAGACAGCGAGAGGGAAAGAAAGCTGTGTTTCAATTAAACAGAGCGATGCTGAGAGGTCAAGTGGGGAGCAGCGGAGCCTCTTAGTGGTCTGGAAATACAAAAACACAAGAGGGGAATCTTGAAGCAGAAGAAAGGTAGGTGATGCTTGCTGATAGCTGAGGAATGTAGGGGAACATATTAAGACATGTGTGAATTTATGTGTTTGCAAGACTTCTGGAGCATGCGCATGGGAGTGTGTGTATGTGTGTGTGTGTGTGTGTGTGTAAGATTTGGTCAAAGTGTTCTGACATGTGCATGAATGTGAACAAGCTCACGCTTGTGAACGGTGTTACAGTAAAAGCACATGTGGCTCACTGTTGACGTGAGCCTGAAATCTTCACTCTACCAGGCAAAAACAAGTAGATAAAACCCTGATTATTCTCTCTGCAGGGTAAATATTCTGTTGTAGATTTCTAAAAATAGACGGGAGCATTTGTAGCATCTAGAAAAATGCCAACCGTAGTATTTTCAGAGGTTCTAAGTGTGTGTTTTGTCCTCTCGCTCAGTGTAATTACACATTTCAGTTTCCATATCCATGCAACATTCTGGCTGTGAAATCTAAAATAAACACGCAGGTAACTGTTGAAGTCAGGGGTGGTGGACGAAAATAAAAACATGTTATGAATTTAAGGATAAGCTGGAAATGATTGTTTACAAGCTGCATCTTTTAGATGTCGTACGTCATGGCACGAAACGCAACGAGGCGGTGTTGTGATTAGAAATGTTTACCGCTGGTTTCCAGGCATGTCTGATGTTTTCACTAAACTCTTCATTAAAACTGACAGAAAACTTTTAAAATCTTTTTTAAGTCAAATAAATCAAATCAAATCGTTTAAGTAAATGTAAATGTTTAACTTCATCTCCTACGAGTGTAATTCAAACGCTGGTAGAAATCTGTGGCATTAAACCATAGTAGCATCAATTCATAAAAGTATGTTTTTCTGTTGTTTTTAACATGTTTATTTGATATATTTTAGGTTTGTTTAATTGAATCCTCTAAAAGATTATTTTAAATAGGGCAAAAATAAAATATTTCCCACTTTCATTCATTTAAAGGAGCTTTTTTTTAAATTATAGTCATAATTTTACAGTGAATCCTCAACCTTTGTTTGCTAATGGGAGTGGTGGTGGAGCTGACCCTGGACCAGTTTAACCTTCCACTTCATAATATTTCCTTTGATCAAATCTTTTTTTTTAACTGCCCGATTTCACAAATCAGACAAAATTAAATCAGTCTATGAAATGATTTATTCCTTCAGTGTAATTATCAGTGTGCTCATGTTTAGGTGAACAGTTGTCAGCTTGCTAAGAAAATTGAACCTTTAACTTTATTTTTGTTCACATCATAATCTTGTTTGTTCTGTAACAAAGAGCAGTGCTTAACTTTTACACCAAATCTTTCGCAGTTAAAATCTTGAATTTGTCTCTGACACGTCTTTGTTACGCCGTGACGGCCCATTATGTCCCCTCCGCTGCTGCCGTAATTGACAGCCCAGCTCAGATGATTATGCTGAAATGCTCCACATGTTGCCGAAAAACTTTTAAACAGGTGACAGGCAGAACGCGGACGGGAGAGTATGTCCTGGAGCAACAGGTGATAATGGACTGGCTCACTTAGGAATGTCCGGTTCCTAATAAGGGCCAGAATCTCCCGTGTCAATACCAGCAGATTACTGGCGGTGCAATTGTCCGTGTGTGACAGCTGTTTAGCAGGCGTTTGCAGTGGCCGGTGGTTGACGGCTAGATAGTGGCTGATGGTGATTTAGCATGTGGGCCAGGTGTATTTCCTGGCCTGACAGAGGAAGGGGGGTGCAGGCATGTTGTAGCTAACAGGCCAAATGAGTGTCTGTAACAAGAGCTGAGATGGACATTAGCTGCTGATTTGTGGCCAGAGCGGTCAGGCTTGAGTTAGCATCTCAACTCAGGGCATAATGATGATCCAGCTGCAGGAGGAGGAGGTGGAGGAGGAGGAGGAGGACAACGAACAGGGGAAGGAGGTGGTGGTCAGCGCCCAGGAAGCAGATGAAGTTCTTAGAGAAAGACAACACTGAATAGAAGGTGGCACATAATTTTGAGGTGGGAGTGTTGAGTTGAAAGTGTTGGTGACTAAGTGAAGCATGAGAGGAGACATGGCCGGTGTGAGAAACACAAAAAACCTTTTTGATGTAGAAAAAAGATAAATCAGACTGATTTTTAGATGCTTCTGTTTGTTGACCATGCTCCCGTAACGGAGCGTGAGTCATGTTACTTAAACAGTAATTATCAGTGGCCTTTCTCAAGGAGTCCCCGCCCTGGCTGCTTGGACGGGTGGGTGGGGTGTGTGTGTAAAGGGTTAAGGCTGATGAAACGTCGCTCCAGGACTTTGTGGTGGGAACGCCGTGCCCTCCTCCCCTCCCTGTCTATGTGGCACATCCTCCTCAGATCCTCTCCACGCTGTAATTAGGGGCCGGCCACTGCAGAGCCGTGCAGCGCCGAGGCTGGATGGGGCAGGCGAGCAGTGGGAACCGATGGGAGTGGTGCTGCTCACCAGGGCGCCGGGCGAGCAAACAGCAACAGCAGCACGTGTCCCATAGTTCTCCCGTGTGGGTGGGACGGGTCGAGAGCAAACGGATGGCAGCAGGTTGGCCAAGCCCTCCCAGTCAGACTCTCTCACTCTAGCTCTATTGTTTGCCTTGGCAGCCTCGCTACAGGGAGGGGCCCCTCCGCTTGTGTTTGTGCAACCTGTTGGGGAACTTTTAGGGCCATCTGATCTCTCTCTTGTTCTCTAACCATGCTTTACTTTTTAAAGATTCCCATCTCCAAGACGTCACGCTTTTGTCCTCATCTCCACAGCGAGGGGCCGGTCTGAGGCCCAATATGCTGCACCCCACCCCCTCCACAGACATTTTAATTATGTCCACTCTGTATCAATGGCATGAACCCAGCTTCAGTTACCTAGCAACTAGATCGACAAGAATAAACTACGTGTAAGATTGGTATCCAAGTTGCGTACCTGCAGGTGAACTTAGGAATTTTCACTTTTTCCCCCCTCCTATTTATCCTAATATATGTATTTTTACTTCTTCTCTGTGACTCTAAGCAACCGGCGAGTGTGACACTTGTTTGTATGTGCTTGAGTCTCTGTGGCTTCAGCGCTGGCCCCATTTAGAGCCAGTCAACTATACAGCTGTGGTGTTCAGGCCGCTTCAAAGTATTTATCTGCACATGCCTCCGGTGACCACCAAGTGTGGATGGCTGAGTTTAAGCTCTATTCATAGATGTGAATGAGCGAGCGCACTGCCAGAGGAAGTTTTATCACCCTGTACAGTAAACAACGGTGCAGTGAATCAACAGGTAGGAACTCGGCTCGGGCAGAGATGTTTGGGAAAACAACTGAGAGAGAGAAATAGAGAGCGAGGGGGGGGGGGGGGGGGGGGGGGGGCGTTAGCACCAGCAGCAGCCCTCTGCTGGGGATGCTAAGTTTCTGAGCTTCACATCAAATGAGTGAAATCAGACTGCAAGTAAGCATTTTGACAGGATACAGTATCTTGGGTGCAATCTGACCTCTTTTGTTGTTTTCTGCACGTCTCACCGCATCCCAGTCTCACAACTGTATTGTTCAGATGAGGGGGTATCAGCTTGCTCCAGGAGCGTATCTACTGGAGGGAGACAAGAGGGATGGTCATGATCTCTGGATCTCTCATGCACTTTACCATCACACCTCCAATGGACGATTAGCGAGGCCATGAAAAAGAAAAGGTCACAGTTGCTCCTCAAGAAATTGTAATAACACATTTGAGAATAAACGGGATGTTTTCTCAAAATAAGACCTGCTGTATTTACCACTTGTTGCCTGTGCCGCACAGATGGTGCACAGAGAAGCGAGGCTGGAGGGGAAAAGGCTTGACTGTCAGTCATTTGCACTATAAAACTACCAGCTTCAAAACCTTGTTCAAGACTGAAAAGCTCTTGGCCTGATGACCGGGTGAAGTGTTAGCCAAGCATTTGTTCCTGAGTTCATCTGGAGGATGTCAAATTTACAAAGAAGTAGACTCACGAAGCATTAGATTCAAGATTAGAAGAGAAGCTTTCTACGTTCTCAAAAAGATTCACAGGAAATGTGATCAGTCATTAAATGCCAACAGGAAATCAGTCAGAGTGTATTCAAATTACCCATTCATTGTGTCACAGTCGGTATCTGCCACGCTATATGACTGATTTAAAGTTTCTAATTTAAATGTGTGGGTTTTTTCAAAGGTAAACGTAACCACAGAGAGTGATTAAATGGGCTTTTCTATATTCCTGGAATTTTTGTCAATGTGGCTTAAATATATTAAACATAAAATAACAAATTCATCGGTTTTATTCGTAACTTGTCTTGACTCTTGGCTTAGTTTGTTAACTGATTTGAGACGACAGCCTGATGGAGAAAGTTCCCGAATATAACGTCTGTTTTTATAGCCAATATGTCTGATTTTTGTTTGTTATGCTAGTTTAAAGAGCCCAAGTATGAGCCACTGCACACATTTAATATCATTAATTTATCCAGACAATAATAAATCTACCAGGAAATTACTTTTTTATTAGGAATGTTCGATATTATCGGTCTACCATTAATACTGGCATTAAAATGTAATACTGGAAAACATTGGTATTGGATTTTAGTCTTTTAATGACCCAACTTTTCCATTCAGTAAACATATTATACACCAAACTCTTCAGCTACTGCTCCTCTCTCTCAAACAGTGGTGCCCCCAATGGGTGGCCAGGGGTGGCCCCACTGGCCACACCAGAGAAGAGCATTGTTCTTTAATGAATCCTATTAATGTTCACACAAACTCTAAATTCATTTTATTTAAACAGACATAAATGTAAAGTCCAATAAAAATATACAATTACAGAGTCATTAAATATTAAAAAGTATATTTGTTTCTCCTGCTCACCATTTTCCAAACAAAAATTTGAATTCAACGTTCTAAAAATTCTACAATAAATTTAAAAATAACATTCCAAATGACAAAATTGTGTTAGTCAAATTTGAGGTATTGCTTTTTTTTAAATGAAAAATAGTAAAGGATTGTGCAATGCATCGCCACAGCAAGCGGAACATTTCGCTACCGTGCGTCTCCCGTGGGGAGGTCTTGTAGGCGTGGCGCTGGAATTTCAGCCGAGGTCGGGTATATAAAAGCACACTTACTGCTGCTTCCACAACCTATAGTGCTGTACATACACACCCATGATGAACATACCAACAAGAAATAGACTAAAATATAATCCATTCAAACAGCAAGCTAATAATATTGACAAATCATTGACAAGGACAGTGGTGCAGCACCACCCGAGCCTATGTGGGCGGAACACCGTACGTGTAGCTAGCCAGCTAACAACGACTACAACAAAACAAGAATCTTCACCCGCTTATTTTACATATCTGAAGATGTTTTATCCCCATAGCTGCATTATGGAGAAAAAGAAAAAACACATTTCTGTGAACGACACTGAGCTGCTGATGGAGATAAAATAAACACAACACTTTTCCTATTGCTAACTTAGATTTAAGTAGTTTTCATTTGGCACAGAAAACATTTAAAATGTAAGGAGATATATGATGTTAGCTATCTAAAATGTTTTAGCTTTTCTTTTTAATGAGGGGGTTAGGGTTAGAGACAGACAATATCAGTAAATCAGATGTCAGTAAAAACCAATATCAAGCGTCCCTACATTTTATTGTGTCACATATTTTAATATTGCACGTTGGGTTTGAACATCTTTAAAGAGCAAGTCACCCCCCAATCAACTTTTTTTCAGATAAACTATATAAATGTGTGTCTAATCGTGCTGCGGACATGTGTACTCAATTGCTTTGTAAAAATTTTTGTAAAATTTAAAAATTTCTGCCTAAAACTATCAGTGTTGTGCTGTTGTCAGGTAAAAACTCTGCACTGCAGTTGAATTTAAATCTGCCATTGCTATTGGCTAAGAGGTACCCTAGAACGTTAGCTGGTACGATATGTCACAATGTTTTTGTGAGCCTATGTGTGTGTGTGTGTGTGTGTGTGTGTGTGTGTGTATTTGTTAGCGGCTCCGCCCTCTCGGTCTGCTAGGCAACAGCATTTGTTGCATTTTTCAAACAGGAAGTGGGAGTGGTGTAATACTCTGGTAGGGAGTGACTTTCTCTTTAAAGAGCAAGTCAACCCCTACCAGAGTCTAACTCCACTCCCGCTTCATGTTTGAAAAATGCAACACATGCTGTTGCCTGGCAGACCGAGAGGGCGGAGCCGCTAACAAATACACACACACTCAGGCTCACGACAGCATTGTGACATCATAATGTACCAGTTTACATCATAGCATACTTCTTAGCCAATAGCGGTGGCAGATTTAAATTAAAATACAGTGCAGAGTTTTTACCTGACAACGACACAACACTGCCAGTTTTAGGCAGAATATTTAAATTTTAACTAAGATGCACTGAAGTGCCAAATTATTGACGACACGTGTCTGCAGCACGATTAGACACTCGTTTATTTAGTTTATCAGCAAAAAAAAGTTTATTTGGGGGTGACTTGCTCTTTAAAGAGCAAGTCACCCCCAAATCACTTTTTTTTTTGCTGATAAACTATATAAAGGAGTGTCTAATCATGCTACAGACACGTGTAGTCAATAATTTGGCAGCTCAGTGCATCTTGGTTAAAATTCAAATATTCTGCCTAAAACTGGCAGTGTTGCGCCGTCGTCAGGGAAAAATTCTGCACTGTATTTGAATTTAAATCTGCCACCGCTATTGGCTAAGAGGTATGCTATGATGTCATCTGGTACATTATGATGTCATAATGCCATTGTGAGCCTGTGTGTGTGTATTTGTTAGCGGCTCCGCCCTCTCGGTCTGCCAAGCAACAGCATTTGTTGCATTTTTCAAACATGAAGTGGGAGTGAAGTAAGTTTCTTGTAGGGGGTGACTTGCTCTTTAATGAAAAGGTTCCAAATCTGTGTTTTTAAAGAGCAAGTCACCCCCTACAAGAAACTTACTTCACTCCCTCTTCATGTTTGAAAAATGCAACAAATGCCGTTGCCTAGCAGACCGAGAGGGCGGAGCCACTAACAAATACACACACACAGGCTCACAACGGCATTGTGACATCATAATGTTCCAGTTTACATCATAGCATACCTCTTAGCCAATAGCGGTGTCAGATTTAAATTAAAATGCAGTTCAGAGTTTTTACCTGACAATGGCACAACACAGACAGTTTTAGGCAGAAAATTAAATTTTTAACTAAAATGCACTAAAGTGCAAAACTATTGACAACACGTGTCTGCAGCACAATTAGACACACATTTATGTAGTTTATCAGAAAAATAAGTTGATTTGGGGGTGACTTGCTCTTTAAGGATGATTTAGGTCTTTTTTCCCACGCATGGATTAAATGTTATTGTGTTGTGTGTCCACAGAGACAGAAGGAGAATGGTTCACCACAGAGAGGAGGACCTGATCGGGATCCCCTTCCCAAACCACAGCAGCGATGTCCTCTGCAGCCTCAACGAGCAGCGCCGCGACGGTCTGCTCTGTGACGTCATCCTCATCGTCCGTGACCAGGAATACCGCACCCACCGCTCCGTCCTGGCCGCCTGCAGTCAGTACTTCAAGAAACTCTTCACCGTGGCAACCACCGACAGCGGGGACCCCCATCACGCTGTGGCCGCCGTGTATGAAATAGACTTTGTGGCTCCGGAGTGCCTCACAGCCATCCTAGAGTTCGCCTACACTTCCACCCTGACGGTGACGGCGTCCAACGTCAAGGAGATCCTGAACGCAGCACAGATGCTCGAGATCCCCTGCATCATCAACGTTTGCCTGGAGATCATGGACAATGGGGGTGATGGAGGTGGAGGGGGAGTGAGAGAGGAGGAAGGGGAGGAGGATGAAGAGGAGGAGGAAGATGAGGAGGAGGAGGAAGAGGAGGAGGATGAGGAGGATGATACGGGTTCGAGGAAGGACGAGCAAGATGAGGAGGAGGACGATGTCAGCGAGAGGTCACTGCAATCGTTGGAGAGCCGGGGAGAACAGACGCCACTGGGAGGGGAGGATTCGTCTCCTCCGAGCACCTCCACGTTCCATAGACAGTTTGGACCCCACACAGAGCCGACCCAGTCTCCGGACTTCATCAGAGGAAAACAGGTAGGATTCCTTCTGTGTTCTCCCACAGTGGACCACTCCTTAGCCTTCACTAACTGACTGATGGTTCTCTGTGTTGTAGGAGAGTATGGAGAGCCGGGCTTTGAAGGATTTCTCCATCGAGTCTCTCCTCCAGGAGGGTCTGTATCCCCGCATGTCAGCTCCGGACAGGAGGGCCAACTTCTCCCCTCTGATTCCAAGCTTCTACCCATCTGTGTGGGCTTCTGAGTTCCCAGCCTTCCCGCAGCAGCTCCTGACCCCCACACACCCCCATGGAGCAGCAGCCTCACCCCACACCAGGCTCCCTCATGCCTTCCCTGCCTCTGCACCCCTAGAACCCTCCAGACCCCTAAATCTAGCAGTGAAAAGGGAGATCATAAAAGAGGAGGCAAAAGAGGAAGTCCCACCCAGTCTCCTGCAGGACGACTTCCTGAAAGAGTTTGTCAGCTCGGGCCTGGGCAACACCATGAACGCTGGGTCAGCGGCGTCGGAAGGCCACTCGCTGGCTCCGATTAAGGATGAAGCGGACATCAGGTCATACCTGAGCTTCCTGAGCTCGGCGTCCCACCTGAGCGCGCTGTTCCCTCCCTGGCAGCTGGCAGAGGAGAGGAAAATGAAGCCCAAAGCTTCACAGCAGTGTCCCATCTGCAACAAGGTCATCCAAGGAGCCGGAAAGCTGCCGCGACACATGAGGACGCACACCGGGGAGAAGCCATACATGTGCACGATCTGTGAAGTGCGATTTACAAGGTTGGTCGGAGCCGAAATAACGTGAAGATCGTGATAAAGACTGCATTAGAGGTTGCTTTTGGGCGTTTTGCCTATCGGGTTATGTGAAACAGCTGTCTTAATGGAAAAGGACCCTTATTTTCTGAATGAGGTTAATGTGTTTTCACTTGATTTACATTTCAAAGAGCTCTAAGTGGAACACCCCCTCCTCTCTCCTATACCTACTTCCTTTGACTTTAGCACTTTCCGTCTGTACTTTAGAGCAGACAAAACATGTTTACTGGCTTTTTTTAACTCGATCGTTTGCTGAAAAAACACATTTCAAAGTGCAACCCAGTGCGGCCGTGTCATGTTTGCTTTGTTCTGTTCTCAGGCAAGACAAACTGAAGATCCACATGAGGAAGCACACAGGTGAGCGCCCCTACATCTGCCTCCACTGCAACTCCAAGTTTGTCCACAACTACGACCTGAAGAACCACCTGCGCATCCACACGGGCGTCCGGCCGTACCAGTGCGAGCACTGCTACAAGAGCTTCACCCGCTCCGACCACCTACACCGACACATCAAAAGGCAGAGCTGCCGCATCTCCCGCCCCAGGCGAGGACGAAAGCCTGCTGCATGGAGATCAGCACCTGCCGGCAACTTCCTGTGCCCTCCTGCTGTCGGAGCCAACCGCTTGGAGGAAAGCAGGTTGAGCCCTGCATACCAGGGGGTCAAGGGTCACGGACTTGGCGAGTTGCTCGGCCTAGGCGGCAGGAGCTTGGGATTTAAGAGCGTGGACGCTTCAGGCAGGGAGAGCAGGGGAGAACGTCAGGTGGAGGAGGAGACGGCTGGAGCAGGGAGGCAGAGGGGAGTATTCGCCTTCGCTCTGGCTGGAGAAGAAGTGCTTACCCACTCTCCATTTTATGCTGCGACCTCTGACCCTTGGACCATGAGACTGGAGCGTGCTCCGCCCATCCCTGAGTCGACCAAATGAACTCTAATCTGCAGACTTACTTAAAAAAAGACGAGAAAACCTCTTGAGTCTGTTCCAGGAACTAAAAGCACCTTTTAGGTAGATGTGAAAGAAGTTTGAGCTGATGTGGGTGGGAGTGCAGATTCATTAAAGAGTTAAAAATCAGTTTCAGTCCTGTGAATGTTTACAGATCGCTTCAAGACATTTGAGAGGAGAAACAGCTTGACAATCGTTATCAAGAAAAACATCAGAACTCGTTTAATCCACGGATTTTACTACACATTTCCTCCAAAAGAAGGTGACTTAGTAACAGATAAAGACATGTTCATGGGGATTTACATCCATTTTTAGAGCTAAAGTGTTAAATTGGCCTGTTGCTTAACATTCAGTGAGCTGCAGGAAAGTTGCTTTAGAATATTTAAATGAGACGTGCAGCAGAGAATTAAAATAAAAAAAGGGTCGCCAATGCTTTAAAATCATCACAATTTTCAATTATTTCTTTATTTTAAAAAACAAATTTGAAAAATGAAAGCACTTGAAGGCAAAATCAGGATTTTTTTTTACATGGTCATGTCATAAGTCCACTGCCTTGTTCATTTCTGAGCTCCTCATCTGCACTATTGTACATAAAACTTTTAGCTGTGGTCGTGTTAATTGAGGCTGATGATGTAAAATATTTTTTAAAATATATAATTATATAAATATATATATATATATATTTGGCTCTTCAAATAAATCCATCCAAAGATGAGTGCTTTGATATTTCACAGACTTGAAAATGACGTTAATATTGAGGAGCACGTGTCTCCAAAAGATCTTAATTCTGACTAATCAAAAGCTGTCAGCTACAGAGTATGCTTGTGTTCTGTTTTTGTTTTTGTGGTGCAACTAATCAACTGGGTTTCGACCCATTTTTTTTATTCATATGACGTTCACGTCTGATTGGTGCAAAAATTCTTTGGATTGAAACGGGAAAGTATTTTCTTGCTATTTATGTGTATTTAAATGAACAAGTGTTGGCTATATTTTGCAGATCTGTTTTATAAAGACACTAACTGTTGACCTTAACCCTCGTCTGGGTGTATTGTTTTCAGGGTGTGTGTGTGTGTGTGTGTGTGTGTGTGTGTGTGCGCGAGCTCATGCTTGACAGCTTTGCCATCAGCAAGAATTATATAAGTTATCCGACTGCTCGCATAATATTATTAATTTTCTTACAGCAATTAAATTGTTTCACATTTTCTAAATCTACCTTTTTTATCGGATTCTGTCATATTGTTTTAGAATCTGTGCCACCAAACTATTTATTATTCAGAACTAATAAAAAGTTACCAGTCCTGAAACATTTCATCATGTTCAGGCCATGCATTTACTATTGCCATCATTTGTTTGTGTCTAATTGGTTTAATTGAAAATACAAGGAGTAAGAGATGAGACAGATAAACCTGGGTGTAGAAACCGTAATTTAAAAATATATATATATTGTATTATTTAGATAGATGTTTATTCGCCAAAATATCTGCCATTAAAAAACTATAACTTGATCAAAAAGCATATGTTTTTTTCTGGGGATAGTTTTAGCATTAAAAATGCACAGTAAACACAAAGTTATAATTATAATTTAAGTTAATTATTTCAAAAAGGTCATAGTGAAGTATAAATTTTAATTTGTACTCAAAAGAATATTTTTTCAACATATTTGAGCTGCTTTCAGCAGATCTTCTGTTTTTCTGCACTGGCCTCTAGTGGACATAATATGTACTGCAATAGACTCTGAATTTGTCAAAATGGACAATCTCAAAATTACATTTTTGAGTAAAAAAGAAAAATTTAAGACAATGTTAAACATTATAATTGATCATGTAAATGAGACCCAAATAAACATGGTAATTAACCAATAAAACCCTATTCGGACGCAATAAGGGTTTCACCACAAGAGGGCGATAAAGGTTCAAATTTCATCCAGAGGGACTAACAGCCGCACAAACTGTAATTTCACTGATGTAATATCAGAGGTGACTAAAACATCTTCAAAATGAAGAGTGACGTGAGCAAGAACACTTTCACAGGAAATGTGTCTGCTTTTCTTGGTTTTTTTTTTCCTGCTTCAGAAAAAGAACCAAGACTTCAAAAAGCGTTTTGTGGACACCAGCACATTGTTTCATGTGGTGAAGCACTTTCAGACGACTTTATATTACAGGGTGAGCTAACGTGTTTCAATTTTAACAAAGATAATTTAAAGAAATGGTTCCTCATGAAATGGTCAAGTAAGTAAAATATATTCACCCAATTTAAGAACATTTAAGTGTCCCCTTAAAGATTTCTTCCTTTATTTTTTTGTCAAACTTAAATGTTTCAGGCCAGAGAACATTTTTCGATATCAGACAAGATAAAAGAGTAAAAACAAAATGCTGTCCTCAAATGAAAACTTTATTTATCAATACTGTATATTTAAATGTTAATTTAACTTATTCTCAATAATTCAGCCAGTTATTTTGTGAATGGTACTGTCCACATTCCTATCGTTTATATAAATTAAAGTTTACAGTCAGATAGTTTCCTCAGTTGGTAAAATCGTATTCTATTTGCTTTTCAACATAAGTTACAGACTGACATCAATCCAATGCCAGTTGAGTTAGCATTCAAGCTAGCACCATATTAGCCCATGGTGAACACAGCATACAACAATTATCTGCAATATTATTTTCTTTTACTTAAATAAAATTATGAATAGATTTCTCAAAAATGTTTAAAAGAAACTTTACGAACTCTTCATCAGTTTTGAGCCTTTGTAGAGAAGAAGCTCCTCCCTTTTAAAAAGCGCCTCTAATGTAAATTCTTCTCAACTGCCGTAAACTTCTCACATCAAGTTTTACAGACGGACTTTTTAACTGTATTTTGTTTGGGAAGATAGTCAAGGAATCAGTACCTTTATACTTTTCGTTGCTCCATTGTAAACTTCCATTTTCTTCTTTTCCTTCTTCTTCGTTGGTGTGCTAAACAGACTGGGGCTACTTCTCTGTCATCGCCCTCTTGTGGATACACAAATCTGTTGGTCAGTGCTCAGGTAAATTATTCATTTAGCAGTGGGGAGAGAGGGGCTCAAAAGAAACATGAATTATGAAAGAGAACCTATTATAAGATAAAATGGGGTCGGCTGGTCAAATTTAACCCTTTTAAAGACACTTTTAATAAAACAAACTGTATATCCCACCTTTAAAGACCACATTAACTAGTTTTTTAAATGCATTTGCAGTGATCTCTAGTATAAATCAATGCCTTGTGACTCACGTTTGTCTTCAAGTCACTACAGGGCCATGCACCATCTTACCTCTCTGATTTAACCCCCTACACTGTTTCACTCTTTTATATCTTTGTTGTGTGTACAGCACTTTGGTTCAATCTCTCATTGATGGAAAGCGCTTTATACATAAAGATGATGATGATAATGATGACGATGATGATGATGATGATCAATGGAAAAAATAATGAGAAAAACATTTCTGGTGCTCCTGTTTTAGCATAGTGAGCCAGAGCAGAGGTGAGCTGAAGACAGCTTCAAATGATGTGTCAGACCAGTATAGAATGGTGTTAACACCCCGGTGGAAAAAGTACAACCGCATGACTAAAAGTACATGTATGTGTGTGTGTTCTTGACTTCCTAAAGCCCAGCCCTCCTGGGGTATTATTTCCTGACACAGTGGCCCACAGTCCCACCAGGTTCCTCTCTCTGTTTCTGACTTTTTCACCACCCTGATGGTCCTCTGAGGTCTGCAGCTGAATGGTTCATATTGTGTCTGACATGTGTGTGTGTTCACACACACACACACAGCATGTCTAATGGGACATCCTCTGAGGAAGCGATACGACAATGCAGCTATAAGTGAGAACACAGGAACGGCTTGAGGTAACACAGTGTGATGTTCTCTGTGGGGTTTCTCAGAAGCTGCAGAGGAAACACCTTCGCAACAAAGAACCTTGAAAAAATAATTTATTTTCTCAGATATGAGAGACAATAAAGTACATACAACATGACATCCCTGTCAGTGACTGAAAACCTTTCGATGAACTCTGAATGTGGGCTTGCTGCCAGATTGCTTAGCACAGAATACATGTCAAAGTGTTTCATAAGTATTAGAAGGTATCGGAGGTTTTTATGTAATAAATAATATTAAAGTAAATAGAAGGAATGAAAAACTTCGAAAAGGTAAAGCAGCTTTGATCACAAATGTCAAATATTTCTATAAATATTTATGCTCCATAATAAATATTATATTGCCAGCTTACAAAAAAATTACAAAAACTACATGTTACCTAAAAAGTCTGGCTAATTACTATTGGAGGCATTATATTACTGATACAAAAAAATGCTAAGCTGTTTTATTTAATTTAGCTAATTTTATAAGGTGTGGAACGCTGAAAAACATTTCTTAATTATTATTTTTATTATAGTCGGTCACTCAGAGTTTTCTATGCTGGCTGAACATAAGATATTCTCCTACACATATCTCCTGCATTAACTTTCGACAGAAAAGAGACGATGAAACTCTAGGAATTGAAAAGCCTGACAGATCTACGTCACACTGTCACAACATTCATGGACTCACCCATCTTGACTCGTGATGGATGAGTCTGTTTTTGGTTTAATGTCCAGGAAATGGCAGAGAATGTCTTGACTAGTAGGATGTTGGCATTAGCAACTCCACCACACAGCAGAACTCCTTCAGGCTTGTGTTATTTTGGGGGAAAAAAGATCAACATCGCAGAGCAAACAGAATCAGTGGTAGAGTTGTGTTGCTGTTAGCCAATCAGAGGTGAGTGTCTGTAAATAGTAAATGACCTGAATTTGATTGAGTGCCTTCTAGAGTCCTGGAACTCCCCAAGGTGCTTTACAACACAGTCAGTCATTCACCCATTCACAAACACATTCACACTCTGGTGGTGATGAGCTACATTCTTGCCTCAGCTGTCCTGGGGCACACTGACCGAGGCGAGTCTGCCGTACACAGGGGCCTCCGCTCCCTCCGAACACAACCAGCAGGCAAGGTGGGTTAAGTGTCTTGCCAAAGGACACAACAGCAGCAACAGATTGAGCGAGGCTCAAACCTGCAACCTTCAGATTACGAGATGAATACCTGAGCCACCTGAGCCCACAATATCAGGAAATAAGACTCCAAATGTTGTCATCTGATGCTAAACGTTGGTGTGGCTCACTTCTACTTCCTGAATCTGGTGAATCGGAGCTTTGTTTCTCCAGAGTACGACTATCAAAGCACTAGAGAAAACTGCAAATGCACTGATTAAATGATCCAAACCTTAAACATCTGTCACGTTTAGGGTTGGAGGAGTTGGACCCAATGTGCAGACACCCAGAATGACACGAGGCAGGAGAGGATGTCAAAGAAAACATTTTTAAGAATGACGTAGCCAAAAAACCTAGAAACCTAAGAGGGCACGAAGCCAAAACCTAGAGACCTGGGGGGGGGGGATGGGACAAACAACGCTGACAAGGACAATGGACCAACAACACACTGCAGACAGGGTTATATACACGAGGGCTGGGTGATCAGGGAATTTTGCACAGGTGAGACTAATAAACAGAGGAGGAGCACAACGGAGCAGGGGAGGAAACCAGACCTAAAAATGGGGGAAGGGAGCAAAATGAACTAAAGGGAGAATACTGACTAGATAAACACTAACAGAAGACTAATGATAAAAGGTGACTAAGGGAAAACGTGAGGGAAATCTAGAGAGGGCCTGGAGGGGGCTGGGGAACCACTGGGACACTGAAACCTAGGGGGAACACCCAAAGAAAAACACCTGGAGTGGGCTGGGGGACACAAGGAGGCGCATGAGGAGGGATGCAGACAAGGAGACACATGAGGAACACAAAGAGACACATAAAGGGATCCTAGAGGGGGTTGGAGAACACAAGGAGACACATGAGGGAGACGCAGACCATGACAGTACCTGGCGGTGATGGTAGGTGGAGCTGGCGACGGTTGTGACGTCGTCAACGAGTACGGCTCATTGGAGGTGCGGGGATGACGCCGGTAGTGCTATCTGGACCA